GATCTACTTGATTTGAACTATTTGTAGAGTTTAAAATTTTATAATCATAGATGAAAATAGATTCTCAAGCCATCCTAAAAATTTTTTATATCAAAATTATATATATGATAAAATTTAGATGTTCACCTTAATTGGATTGCTTAAGATTACAACCTTATGCCAACGACACCCTTTTCATGTTTACATATGTAAATAATTTTCTTGGGATAAATATTTACTACTAACCAAACGTGACCTAAGGGAAAAGCTAAGCAAATGAACTCCGAGCTTTTACAAAATGGGGGCCTCAAAGCTGTATAAAGAAATGGGCAAGCTTTCTATGCTTCTCCTACAGCATAGAGGTTCTATCCTCCCCCTTATCCAAACGTCCATTCTAAATGGAGGGTTAAGATTGTCCCAATGACAATATCACATCTATACACTATTTTATTTTTAATATTTTTTTAAAACTATTTTGACACCAAATTTTGGACGTCCATTCCTCTATTAAACTCGTACTAGCAAAAAATACTAAAAAAATATTTTCAATAAAATAAATAACCAAAATACACCTGAAAGTTTCAAGAGGTATTTTGGTTATTATACTTTATCGCAAAATTACTTTTAATATTTTTTATAGTTGCGCCCCAATGAGAAGATGGCACGTACGAAATTTCATATTCATAGACTAAACATAAAATACTTTGAAAGATCAAAGATCAAATGGTGTGTGGTTCTCTTGATCAAAATTGGACGGTTGGATGGTAGGGGAAGGATAGAACTTCTATGATGTAGAAGAAACATATAAACCTTTTCTTAAAAGGATAAATCCAAATCTCTTGGCCATAAATGGGTGGATAATTAATTTTTGAATTTTGGTCAAATTAAAAGAATTATATAGTTTAGGGTTCGCAATGTGGAAATTGGTCCTCAAAAAGTTCCACCCATCCTATATTCATGGTACGAGGTCCTGGTTCTTCATGCTTCAGCCTCAAAACGAATGCTTTATCATAGGAAAAATGTAGATCAGACTGACAACAAATTTGAAATCTTTGACGTTCGAGCAAGTTTTGGGTCTTTTTCCGTTTCTTCAAGTACCATGTTCATATACTTCTTCAATTTTTTTGGCAAGTTTATGCCCAAGTTTGGTACCCTGTCGTTGGAAAATGGTATGGTTCGGTCCTACAAACATTTTGGCTCAATAATAGCTTGGAAACACCCCATGTCGTGACATTATTTGGAGGGCCAGTTGAAACAATCTCTTTTACCTGACAAGTAAAACCTTGTGAACTTGAATTGATACTTAATTTGAGAAAATCCAATGCTAATTTTGAGTTGAGAATGGGGCTAGGGTTGTGGTGTTAGTACTATCTAAGTTCCAATTAAAGGTCATAACCACTATTTTCACTAACACTTTCAAAAAATTGATTTTTTTTATGATTGGATTATCTACAAAGAGATAATTTATTTTTTGTACGTGGATCTCACAATTTCCCCACTCATTAAATGTCAAATTGGATGGCTTGGGGTGAGTCACGAAGTCCGTGAGTATTTTTTTTTTAAACTTTGTATCTATTCAATTATATTCTTACAGCCACCCATTTTGAAATTTAAGGGATAAGAATCATTGTGGCTTCTATGTACAAAAGATAAAAAGTGATTGTCTACAAAGATGCCTCATTTTATCTTTTGTGTAAGGAGGTCAAAATTATTGTTGTCTCTTAAATTTCAAAATGGGTAGTTGTATGAGTGTTATTTAATAGACACAAAGTTTCAAAAAAATAATAATCTTGGACTTCGTGACTCACCCAAGCCATCCAATTTGAGCTCTAATGAGTGAGAATAATTGGCATTCATGTACAAAAAATAAATGGTATTTTTCTAGATAATAAAAAAAAAAAAAAAGCTCAGCATCTCAATTTTTCTATGGTAGCGAATCCATTTTTTTTTTTTGTTGTTGCTTTTGGTTTTATATTTTATATTAAAATAACTAGCTAGTTGTTATGAGTGAAAGCTACAAATCGACCCAAAACACTTAAAAAATAGTCCAGATTTTGAGACATTTTATAGTGAGGTCGAATTTCTTTTAATATATTTGCTACTATTTAACCCTTGTTGGACCTTCAAAGTTGAAACTGCTCTAAACACGAAACAAAACAAGTGTGTGGGGCCAATTGACGGTCAAAATACCGAATCGGGTGGTTTGAAGGATGACCCCACAATGAAGTATGGTGGACGGTTCGAAAGTGGGGCCCTTAATTGCTCAAATACATATGAACAATTGTTGCATGCGGGTTGGACCGCATTTGTACAATATGCGGTCAAGAGATATAAAGCAATTGGATGCAAATCGGTAGTCCATCTGAAAACACTTTTAACTAAAGGTTCAAATGTTTTCTTTATATAATTATTATTTTTAATTTTTAAAATTTATTTATATTCATGATCTTCATGTTAAGAATTATGTATTTTATAAAAATTAGGGTCAAATTATATTTAACAAATATATTTATTGCTAAACCTGTATTTCTACAGTATATGGGCTGGCCACATAGAAACTGTGTCCAGTACAGATTGGTCTCTCTGTTTGTTTTTTTTGTTTTTGTTTTTGTTTTTTTTTGTTTTTTGTTTTTTTTTTGCTCTTTAGGGCATTTAGAAAGTCCAAATAACTTTGCTACACCATTACAAAGCGCCATTCGAAACTTTGATCATCAAATCATCCTTAATCTTTTATGTGTTTAGAGAAGTTAGAAAGTCCAACCTATGGACCATAGGTGAAGTATGAAAAAAAAATAAAAATAAAATAAAAATAAAAATAAAATAAAAATGAAAATTGGAACCTACTTCCCCTTTCATCCAAGCATCCAATATTATCAGGTGAGTCATTAACCAGTTAATCTATAGATCCGACGCCTCACATATTTTATTTCTAATTTTTTGTATACTAACCATATGTATATAAAATTTGGTATGTGCCATCACCTCAATAGGACGCACCTAAATAAAATATTAAAAAATATTTTTAATAAAATATAATGATCAAAATACCCTTACAAATTTTTAGGGGTATTTAGTAATTTTATTTTATTGAAAATATTTATTTTATATTCAAATTTTTTGTGTTAAAAAGATTAAAAATAAAATAATAAAGAGGATGGCATTATAGATGGGGTCACACCGTTCATTTAGAATGGATAGTTGGATAAGAGGAAATATAGAAGGTTTATGCTGTAAGGAAGCATAGAAGCATGCTCAAATACAATTAACTACAATCTTATTGTACCAGGACTACGAGAGGGTCCAAATATAGACCTTAGAAGACCATCGAAACGCGCCCTCATTCCTTACTCCCCATGCGTAATGATTTTCAAACTGGCTTTATTTTTAGTAGTTATTATTACTATGTCTGTTCTTCCCAAGCATTTCAATCGATCGAACCCCTTCCTCGTATTGACTAGTACGGTCACTAGGGGTCATCACCATCCAATTAATGGATCGCATGGTGAAAGACGGAGCAAACCTAATAAAACAGGTGGCATAGCACACCCCGTCAAGCAAATGGTGATGGCATGAGCATCACATTTGTGCATATAATCCTCACTAACAAGTGTCATTCTCACATCTTAAATTCAGATAAAAAAGAACATGCAATGCATCCATCACGCTGATCCAAATCTGATATCAAAAGCACTGTTACCAAGGAAGTGTTATCAATATTGAAAGGCTATTTGGTCCACGTAAAACTAATCCAATCGTTAGTTAAACTAATTGGACAGATTCATTTTTTTAAGTTTTATTTTTTAAAGTTCAAAATAATAGTTTAAAAATAGAAAAAATTACATATAGATCTCAAAAAAGTATAAAAAATGCAGGATGCTCCATTTTTTTATTACGAACGAGCATTTTTTTCTTTCAAATTTGCCGTGTGGTTTGAGGATGTCATCCTAAGACCGCTTGTTAGTTTTATTTTTTTATTATTTCTTTAATAGGGCAGTGTTCGGAGTTTTAGGGGCACTACCCCCGCGGTATGAGGTTTGAATCTTTAGACCCCTGGATTGAATAGAGTTAGGTCCAAAGTCTCGGACCGCAATTTAAGTATTGAAGAAAACCTGTTGTCCGAGAATTTCAACTGCGGATCGCTTGTCATTAGTTGAAGAAATGTCTGAGCAATGCTCATTCTAGAGAGCACTCCGAGGTTCCAATTTTTGGACAAAGGTTTTTCTAAAAAGTAACAAGTGGTCCGAGGTTCAAATTCTAAGACCGAATATTTTTTTCATAAATAACAAACGGTCTGAGGATGGGAACATCAAACCACCCTAAAACTGAGCTCTACTCAGTCTAGGGGGCGGTCTGAGATTTCTATCCTCAGACCGCTGATGTTTTCTATCAAAAAAAGAAAGAACGATAAGAAGATTTAAACCTCGGACTCGGACTGCCAAGACAATGCTCCTTAAACTTGGGACACTGCCCTACTAAACAAATAAATAAAAATTCAATTGTCATCCTTGAACTTAGGGGTAATTTTTGGAAAAAAACCAAGCATTGACTGGACTTTCTGATAATTTTCGACTAAAAACAGAGTATCTCGTATTTTGTATACGTTTTTAAGGTCCGTACGTAAATTTTTTTAAAAAATATAAAATATATTAAAAAATTTAACTATATTTAAGTGATCAAACTAGTAAAAACTAACTTGAATAACCAAAACCGATCAAATATTAATTTTGATTGATTTTCGATAGAACCCAATTTTGATGTTGAATCAAAACATGTAGATGATCTAATTGGTCGGCCCACCGGTTCTCTATAAAAAAAGTGATCGCATTAGTCTATCTACATTAAGTAACCTTGACTGCATTGCAGCTGGCTCCTACAGCACTGCAAGTGCTGTTGCCTGGTGTTCTACGTGGGGTTATTGAGTGAGGAACGTGGAAGCAGGCAAAAGTAATGACAAGACATCAAAATGGCACCTGTTCACCTCCACCACCCGCACTCTTACTATAAAATGCCCGACGCACCAAACCCCTTCATCACCACCATCACAACACTCTCAGAAAGAGTGAGCAATGGCAGCCATGCGGTTTGGTTGGGCGGCAGCACTGGCCTTGGTGGTGTGCGTTGCAGTGGTGGCGGAGGCGTCCATTTACAGGACGACTGTGACCACCACCACCGAGGAGGAGGTGTTTAAGGGTGGGAATTTTGGGGAGGGAGAGAGGGAGCAGTGCAAGCAGGAGAGGAAAAGCCTAGAATCATGCAGGCGCTTCATCCAGACCGGGAGGCCTGAGTTAACTCTCTTTCCTTACCAGAGGGATGCTCCGCGAAGGTGCTGCGAGAAATTGGAGAACATTAGGGAGGAGTGCAGGTGCGAGCAGATAAGGCAGATGGCTAGGAGTCTCATGTCAGAAGCAGGGCAGGGAGAGCAGCAGCAGATTATCGAACGTGCCGAGCAACTTCCACAAATCTGTGGCATCTCTCAGCAGCGCTGCTCCATCAGTTCATGTAAGCACTCTACACCTCTCTCAATCGTTCTTTTTTTTCTCTCTCTGAAATGAAGAAATCCTTCTCTTTCCATAAAAGGAACAAATCCCTCCTCTCTTATGATCAAATCCCATTTTTCTCTCTTACTAAATGTGCAGTTCTCTGTCTAAATTGAACAAATCTATCTCTCTCTCTAGAAGTGGGAGAGTTGCTGATTGTTTGGTTTTTGGGATGCTTTGTTGCAGTTTCCATGGCCGCATAGAGAGCGTTGTTGAGCGGGGCTTGTGAATAAATAAGAGGAGGCCCAGACGCTGCTGATATGAGCAGAGAGTAAATAAGAAACACACGATCGTGTGGCGGTTGTTTATGACTGATAATGAATGAGGATGAAACTTTTTCCGCTTCTGCATGTTTTATCCATTCTTATTTTCCCCGTAATTATTTATTTTCATCCCTCAAAAGTGAAACGAAAAGAAAAGAAGAAAAAAAGAAAGGCATTTCATTATTTTTATAATACATATTTTTCTCGACGAAGAAAATCAAATCGGGTCTGATACAAAGTATGCACGATGCACATCATTTTAAATTATATGTGGGAGTGGCATCATTTAAAAAAGAGACGGGTTACAGAAACATGCGTCATAAGGAGATATTTTTAAGGGAGGTTATATAATGAGATCATTCACTTTTCTTTTCTTAAAAGATAGTTAAGTGGTTGCATTTGTTTAAGAGCAAATTATGTACATACATAGTTGGTGATGGACACTCGTTTGCTTGAAATTACGAGCACCGTAACCCAAGCAAATTACGAGCGCCATAACTCTTTGAAATTACTAGCACCTGAAATTATGAGCACCATAACTCTTTGAAATTACCAGCACCTGAAATTACGAGCTGGTGATTGACACTCAGTTTGCTTGAAATTACGAGCACCGTAACCCAAACAAATTACAAGCACCATAACTCCTTGAAATTACTAGCACCTGACCTGAAATTACGAGCACCATAACCATAACCTAACCCGCTGTGAGGTTACGAGCTCATGAAATTATGAGCACCGGAACCCCCTATGAGGATTATAAACATCCGACCCCCTATCAAGAGCATAAACATCGAGGACATCCGTTTAAACTTGGGTGAATTTGTATTTGGCTTTTAAAGTATCCTCTCTCCTTTCCCGGTATCTCTCTCTTCTCTCCCTATCTCCTGCAAAAATTGCGGGCCTCCCCTCTCTTCTCTCCCTTTCTATCCTCTGGCTCAACCTGCCTCTCCACTTCCTACCTCTCTACCTCACCTCACCTCAAACCATCATCCCTACCCCCTCTCTCTCTCATCTCCCCCAATCTTCCTCCTAAAAGCCCAAATCTAACCTTTTTCTCTTCCTTTTCGATCCGTAACCGTAGGCTCTCTCTTCTCTCCCTCACTCCAAATCTTCGGCCCCTCAGCCTCCCAGCCTCTTATTCAACTTTGAGACACGCGAGGCAATGGCTATTGATGTGATCTTCCTTGCCCAATCGAGCTGATCAGATGATAAGTTGGAATTACCGAAAGAATCTCATAGGGCAAATGAAAATCAGCACCACTCGAGCTATTGTAAATACTGTTCTGGGTCGTTGTTCCCCCTCCTCTCGTCACCCCAATTTTACTTTGTTAAGAAACTTTATCATACTGATTCAGTAAGACGACTACCAAATAATAAATAAGATAAGATAAATATTTTTAAATCCCTTATTTTTGTCAACAATTATTTTTATTTTAGGAGATCCAAAGATTTAGAATTTTTTTTTGCTGCATAAATAACACACAGGTCTCTATGCGTTGTTTGTCTCTCTCACTCCAAAGCCAAGCCCCTCACTTCTAAGCTAGAATAAGCAGGGAAACATAACACGTTAACTGAACAGCTCAAAACTCTCTTTTTTTCTTTTATTTTTTTTATGAGGTTTCCGTAGTTATAACCTTAAATGTATCCCAAGCCGAAATATCACGAGTACAGTCATATACACAGGTAAACCCTTTCTTAAGCCGAAATATCACAAGTACCACCATATACACAGGTAAACCCTTTCTTTGATTCTGCGATTTGGGTATTTGAAATTTTGGAATGAAATATGCCTTGCAATTTGGTTATTTGAAATTTGAAAATCAAATGTGCTATGCGATTTATGTGATTTGAGAATCAAATGTGTTATGCAAGTTAGGTATTAGAGAGAGAGGAAGAGAGATAAAGAGAGAAAGTTCTGATGACATAGAGAAGAGAAAGAGATGATAGAGAGGATGATCTCTATGATTTGGGTATTTGAGAGAGGGAGACGAAAGAGAGAGACGGAGTTCTATGATTTGGGTATTTGAGAGAGGGAGACGAAAGAGAGAGACGGAGTTCTGGTACAGAGTGACCATGGGAAAGTGGGCTATGAGGTTGGGGTATTAGAGAAAGAAACATAACATAGGTTAAGAGGTTAACGGGCTTTTGAATGAAAGTGAGTCATTTTTTAAATTGTTTAGAACAAAAACACATGGTTAAAAGGGTTGGGGGTTGAAAAATAAAAAGCATAGAATCGTTTTTTGGATTTCTAATTTCTATCTTTTTTTTATTTTGTATTTAAGCTGGTGTTAATGGCATTGGTATTTACTTTGTTTATTTTGTTAATTTTCTGCTATTGGTAATATTCGTGGTATTATGATTTAATCATTCTTTCCGATCCATCCCATTTCCGTATCTCTCTCCCTCCACATATATATATATCCCTTCCATTTAGTTATAACTCTAAATATTTAGTTTACCTCTTTATCATGAAATTTTCTTTTATGTACTGTTATATATATATGTTATAAATTATCAAAGATAAAAGTGAATATACAGAAACGTAGATATTCATTCTCTCTCCACCCTGTCGACTGCATTTTCGACTCTTCGTCTTTTATCATAGTATAAGAGCAAGGATACTCTGTCGATACTCTGTCGATACTCTGTCGACTGCATTTTTGACTCTTCGCCTTTTATCATGGTATCAGAGCAAGGATAGTGCTGGATCAAACCAGCAAGCCAAAGGACTAATCAGCGTTTGTATCATTTGATTAGAGCTATATTCCCTGATCCCTCGCTGCTCTCCGTCTGCTGCCTGCTACCCTGCTCCTGCCGTTGTGAGCCCTCTCTCTCTCTGCAAACCCCTTTCTCTCTCTAAGCCCCCTGGAAAGAAAGCTCGCTCCCCTCTCTCCCTCTAGATGATCGAGGGTCCTTTCTCTCTCTCTGCAAAAGCCCTCTCCCACTTTGCTGCTCCCTTTCCCTTTCCCATCCTCTCGCAAATTTTATTTTTTTGCTGCAACCACCTAACGCCATCTCCACCATCCCGCTAGCAACCACCTTGTCTTTATTTTTTGCTGCCCCCTTTGTCTCTCCTATTTTATGGTGTGCTTGTTGTGGCTGTTCTTGTTTTGTCCAAGTGATTGGCGTCAAGCTTAAGCTTCTTGCTCTTTTCCAATCCTTACTTTCGTTTCCGCACTTCTTTCAATTCCCATTTCTCTCAAGTTTCTTTTCAGCCATGTCTATTGAAACTGGAAGAACCCACAATTCCTCTTCTCCTTATTTTCTCCACCAGAATGTTGATTATTTCTCAACAACTCACTGATGATAACTTCCCATTTTGAAAGCGCTCTTGACGCCAAGCACAAACTCGGCTTCATTGATGGCACAATCTCAAAGCGTGTAGTCGGCACTACCAATCATGTCGCTTGGAACCGATGCAACACCATGGTCCTATCAAGGATATGGAATGTTGTTTGCAAGGACCTCACTAACAACGTGATCTATTTTGAAACTATGAAAGAAGCTTCGGATGATATCCACAAACCTTTCTTTAAAGGTAATGCTGCTCAAATTTATCGCATTACCCTTGATATGTCCACTCACATCCAAGATCAACTTTTTGTTCTCTCCTATTACACTACTCTTAATCAACTTTTTGTTCTCTCCTATTACACTACTCTTAAGGGTTATTGAGATGAGATCGATTCTCTTACCCTTATTCCCACATGTACCTGTGGTGCTGTCAAAGAAGTTTCTACCTTAAAACAAAACGAGAGGGCATTTCAATTTCTCTTGGGGCTTGAGTGATTCATTCTCCACCGTGAGAAGTAACATTCTTACCATGGATCCTCTACCCTCAATTAACAAAGCTTATTCTTTGGTTCTTCAAGATGAGTGGCAAAGAACCCTTCAACACCGGCCATCTCAACCCTTCGAAGGTGCTGCTATGGCTGTAGCTCATTTCAGCTCCAATGGTCATGGCAAAGGACGTTCTGATGGGGAGTATAGAAATTCCTCTCGCACCAGTTCCAATGGCAACAATCAAAACCCACCCCGCTGAAGAGGCAATGGGCGTGGAGGTAAAGGGCATGATAGACCTCATTGTGACCATTGTGGGGACTCCGGCCATACCCGAGGTCAATGCCGAAAACTCCACGGTTGGCAACCTGCTCGCAACAATGCTACTGCAACATTGTCCAGCACCACTAGCACCAACGAAAATTCTGATTTGGCTGATGTCTCCATTGCCGTCCATCTTTCACTAACACAACACTCTCAACTGATGATGTTGCTCAACCCGGATCACAGTCCCTCGGCGGCCAACCTTGCTGGTATGAAACTATCTTGTGCTTCATTATCTTCTTTCCTTTCAACATGGATAATTGACACCGGGGCATCCGACCACATGGCTTCCTCTTTAGACCTGTTGCACAACAAAACTTCCATGCATCAAGCACCATCCGTCAAACTTCCTAATGGAAACATTGTTTCGGTTTCCCACAAAGGCACCTGTCTCATTTCTTCCTCTTTGCAACTTACAGATGTCTTATATTTGCCTTCTTTTGATTTAAACATCTTATCTGCCAGTCAATTAACCAAAACCCATAACTATGCAGCCATTTTTTTCCGTGACTTCTGTGTGTTTCAGGACCTCACAACGAAGAGGGTGATTGGTCTGGGTGAACAACGTGATGGCCTCTACTTTTACAAGGACTCGAGAATAAAAAGCTTTTGCAATCAAAGTTCCATCTCATAGCTCTGGCATAACCGCCTTGGCCATCCATGCAACCATCATTTGAAGGAACTTTCTCCAATTCTTTTTTTTCCATTATCTGATAATAATGCTTGTCCTTGTGAAATGTGCCTTGTAGCCAAACAAACAAGGAAACCTTTTCCTTTAAGCTCTAATATTACTTCTTTTCCTTTTGAGTTCATTCACTGTGATATTTGGGGAGCATACTCAACACCCGCACGTACAGGTGCACGTTACTTTTTAACCATAGTTGATGATTTTACCTGTTGCATTTGGACTTTTTTAATGCAGTTTAAAAGTAACACTTATTCCCTCGCAAAACATTTTTTTACTATGGTACATACCCAATTTAACTCCACCATTAAAACCTTACGGTCTGACAATGGCACCGAATTTCTATCTCATCAAATGCATACCTTGCTAAAAGAGAACGACACCTTACACCAAAGGTCTTGCGTCAACACACCCCAATAAAATAGAGTGGTTGAGCGCAAACACAGCGACCTCTTTGAGAATACCAGACCCTTGCATTTTCAAGCTGGATTACCCCATCCTTTTGGGGTGAGTGTGTTTTAACCGCCACTTACCTAATAAACGGGCTACCTACCCCTATTATGCAAGGACGAACTCTACACGAAATCTTGTTTAACATGCAACCAAACTACCACCACTTGCGTGTGTTTGGGTGTCCTTATGGTAAAATCACATGATAAATTCGCCCCTCAAGCCCATAAATGTATTTTTATCAGCTATCCTTATGGTAAAACAGCTTATAGACTTTTTGATCTCAATACCAACACTTTCATTGTGAGTAGGGACGTTTCCTTTCACGAAACATGTTTCCCTTTTCGCCAACCTGACTGTCCCAACAAGGAATACACCGCCACCTCGCCCATTCCTCTTCCCATAATAGAGGAGCTTGGTCCTTATTCCTCCACTTATCCTGTTCCAATGCTTCTTGTTGACGTCCTTCACTCACCGCAGATTACCAAGTTACCCGCCATTGAGTCATCTTCTTCCCCATCCACCACCAATCCATCACCACAGGAACCTACCACAAACTCTCAGTCCATTCGCAAATCCACAAGGTCTCATCGACCTCCGGGATGGCTTGTTGATTTCCATTGTTCCCAGGCACTGTCTTCACCACCGACCAATCATCACTCTTTTGATGGTCAACATATAGGTAACTCTCTCATTTTGTTTCCTATGATAAACTCTCTCACAACCACAATGCGTTTCTGGCTACCGTTTCCTCTAACCTTGAACCAAGGACATTCTCTTCTGCCATGAAAGATGCTCGGTGGAGAGAAGCCATGACCACTGAGATAAAAGCACTTGAGGCAAACCATACCTAGAAAGTTACACCTTCACCACTTGGCAAACATGCCATTGACTGTAAATGGGTGTAGAAAATCAAGTTCCATGCCGATGGCACTGTCGAACGATATAAAGCACGACTCGTGGCAAAAGTCTATACCCAGACTGAAGGAATAGACTACCACAAAACCTTCGCTCCCGTGGCCAAACTTGTCACTGTTCAATGCCTTCTTGCCATTGCTGCTGCAAAAGCATGACCCTTGTTTCAACTCGATGTTAACAACGCTTTTCTTCATGGTGATCTGCATGAAGAGGTCTATATACAATTACCCCTGGGATTTCCTCTTACGGGGGAGCATTTGTTTGCCGTCTCCAAAAATCCTTATATGGTCTAAAACAAGCCTCGCGAATTTGGTTTTCAAAATTTTCGACTTCTCTCCTCCAAGCAGGATTTCAACAATCAAAGGCCGACTACTCCATGTTTACTCTCAAAGCTCAAAGACCGGATGACTGTAATTCTGGTTTATGTTGATGATATAATCATCATTGGAACTGATGTTTCCACCATAGAGTCCATTAAACAATTCCTTCATAACCAGTTCAAACTCAAAGACCTCAGTCCTCTACAATACTTTTTGGGTCTTGAAGTTGCAAGATCTAAAAAAGGAATTTTTTTATCTCAACAAAAGTACACGCTGGACATTTTAGAAGAAACCGAACTTCTCGGCACAAAACCCGTATCTTTCCCTATGGAGCAAAACCTTAAACTCACTCTTGATGATGAGCCTCTCTTCTCCGATCCTAGTTCTTATTATCGACTTGTGGGGAGGCTTATTTATCTCACCATCACTCGACCAGAGATCACATTCTCTGTTAATATTCTCAGCCAATTTATGCGCACACTACACCAATCGCACATGGATGCTGCATTCCGGGCACTTCAATACTTAAAGCTCAATCCTGGCAAAGGCATCCTCATGCCATCGCCCAATAACCTTCAGTTATTGACCTTCTCTGATTTCAAATTGGGCATGTCATGATCCCGCCCCCGACCACCTTATCTTAAGCGGCGACGGGCAATTGAGCACGGGTTCGTTATTCAATGTAACGTTTGTCACTCAGGTGGGTGTGGACTCAATATATTTGGAAATCAAGCAAACCATGAAAGAGAGCTAAAGCGACAAGCTTAACTAACAGAAGAGTACAGAAAAATCTCCACACACCAAAATTCATAATATAAAAATCTTTCAAAATATTACATTCATTTCGGGGCATCAAGGCTTAATATTACACATATCCACCAGGAACACAACAAAACTAGGGGCAAATGGCCCAGACATAAACAAGGTCTAAGCACTTTCTTCAAAAACATTAGATTTGTCTTCCAACTGCCCAACACGAACTTTCAGCTCTGTACCTGCCGCTATCAATCTACTAATAGAGGAGAAATAATGGGATGAGCTGTACAGCCCAGTAAGCAGATCTAGTGTTATTCATCTGTGGTGGTGCTATCCATATGTGACAATAGTATAATTTATCAATATAGAGTCATAACTTAGCATAAATGTATATCACATCAAGACATCGAATATGAACATTTCATTTAAACGGCAGTCATCTCTAAATCAGTGCGATCAGAGCCCTCAATTAATGAAATCATAATTCATTCCATTATTATAATGCTAAACATTCATTATAAAGAAATTGAATCATTACCCACCCACTCCTTGAATCACCTACTCCCGCAGTAGAGGCCCTATCCAACAGGCTAAGCCAATCCCATTGTTTAAGACCTCTACCATCACACAGGAGGGAGGGTAATGACAAGTGGTTTATCCATGTCGTAATACCATCAACACCCTCATACAGTCCCCAGAGCGCATTGGGATTTCGATGGGCCCTTACCTTGTAAGGCATCCATTACATATCATTTCATAAATCTAGGGTGCGACCCTTTATCCTCTCCCTTAACCCGTTCCTATCATTCTGCAGGTTAAGGGATATGTCGGCATCTCTTTCCTTACTACCAATGAGTGTCACATCACATAGCAAGCAATATCATAATAACATCCACTACCGGTTAGTGTCCCACCATGTAGTGGCCAATATCCTCATCAATGTCTTGGTGAACCTAGCTCACACTATCGATGGGCTTGGGTCCCACCATGTAGCGCCCAATGTTCCCATCAATAAGTCCAACATTGCTACCAAAGGACTCAGGTCACAATGCATAGTGGTCCACACTCTCATCAATATAACAGCACAGTATCCACTATAGGTGAGTGTCCCACCGCGTAGTGGTCAATAACAATATAAGCAGTGGCCATTCATTGCCTTATAACAGATGAACCATACCTCATCATAGCGTCACGGTATTTAGCAAAAGACATGCATTTCATCAGCTATCACATGGCATTTACACAAGCTTTCTCAGTAGCATTTGGCATTCATTGTTAATTCATTTCATCATTATCGCGTTCGTGGGCCCTTTTTCTCACAAAGTACAGTTTACACGGAATCATTCACATATATTTATGGAATTCTCATGGAATTTATCATATGGCATTCACATTTATCATATATCAAGCAAACTTAGTGTTGCATGGTCATACAGTGATGCAATGACAAGTAAGAATGACATGCCCCTCTTAGGGGGTAACTCTCGATGTAGGGGGAGTTTTAGGATGACTCAAACATAAAACCCTGAGCTAACACACATTTCTTTACAAAAACAATGATTTGAAGAAATTTAGGTGCCATTTGATGGGCCAATAGCTCATTATAAAGTGAGCCTTAGTTGCTAGAAATTCCCTACAACAATGTGCATTGACATGTTCGCGCAATTCGGGTCATAGTTCAAAATCCGTAGAGAGTTTCAAATATTTCAAAATATGCAACTTCAAGTACATTCGTAGACCTTTCGAATGACAGTAATTTCAATGTTTTTGGATACCATTAGCTAGGTCGAAAGCATTGCCCAAAGAAGGCCACAGTTGCTGAAAATAGTAGCGACTACAAACAGTGTCATGCCTCGACATTAGGTTCATATTTTTTTATCCATGCAAAACATTTTCATGACGTAAAAAAGTAAACTTGGAGTATACACACATGTCTTTCATTTGGGATCGAACATATAGTTGCAAAAACATTCACAGTTATGAAAATTCACATTCTCAAGTAAATATATTTTAAAGAACACTTAATGTTTCTTAGCCAGGCTACACTTTGGGCTTGGAACCTTATTGGTGATAAGGAGTCTTATAGTGAACGATTTCATGAGTTTCCATAAATAAAAAGATCAAACATGTGGTAGACACAGTCATGACATTGAGAAGTACAAACGGAAACTTCAACCTCATGTTAACCCATTAATCTTCACATCTTCCTTTATATCATCTAATCCATTTCAACATTTTTACAGCACTCATGGATGCATAAAGCTAAACCCACTTACCTTAAGTTCGCACGGTATCACAAATCCTCACTTATGGCCTTCACGGGCTTTCCTTGGCTTCACCAATGGATTCGGAAGGGGCAACAGTGAACTTCAAGAGAGAGGGAAAAGTTGAGAAAAAATTGGGAAAGACGCGTGTTGCCCAAGGCTTAAAAGGAGAGGGTGGTTGGAAAATACTGTGGCTGATGCAATCACTCATTGCTCTGACACGTATGGGGCGATTCTGACATATACAGAGGTTGTACGTTTGACTAAAACACTCTCGACGTTGCACTATCAAACATCCAACTGGCGCTGTTCCAACCAGCGCTGCTCTCTCTTCTCTTCCAACCGGCGCTACCCAATCAGCGCTGCTCTCTCTTCTCTTCCAACCGGCGCTGCTCTCTCTTCTCTTCCAACCGGCGCTGCTCTCTCTTCTCTTCCAACTAGCGCTGCTCTCTCTTCTCTTCTAACCAGCACTGCTATTTAAACACACGCGACAATGCCTCAGACGGCAAAACTACACACACCTTTCTTGCAAGGTGAAAATCCTTACACCTTTTCACTCGACGTTACATCTTTCTTCTCGTGCGACGATACTGGCTTGGGTGAAAATTGTGGCCCTTACATCATCCCCACTTTAAAGAGATTTTGTCGCTAATCTTTCCCGTTCCCATGTCGATTCCTTCCTTGAATGATGTTGCCATTATACCCGGACTAGGGGAATTTCTTTATGGCGCAACACTTGTACTCTTCTGTCCAAAATCTCATTTAGTTGCTCAACATAGGTCAAATCTTCCTTGAGCAAGATTGGTTTATACTCCAAGACATGGGATGGGTCAGGTTGATATTTCCAAGACTTGGGATGGGTCAGGTTGATATATGGAAGACACTGTAAATACTGGCCAGTTCAAGTGGCAGGGCAAGTCAGTAAGTCACACTTTCAATTCTTTCTAGGACTTCAAAAGGTCCAATGAATCATGGGCTCAATTTCCCCTTTTTACCAAATCTCGTAATACCCTTGGTTGGGGATATCTTCATGGAGACCCGATCCCCCACTTCAAACTCGAGGCTTCTCCGACGATTATTGGCATAGTTCTTTTGCTGACTTTGGTCTATCTTGAGCCGCTCTCTAATCAAGGCTATGTTCTCAGAAATCATTTGAACCATTTCGAGCCTTAATAATCTTCTTTCGCCCACTTCGTCCCAATAGATGGATGACCTACACTTTCTCCCATACAGGGCCTCATAAGGTGCCATCTGAATACTGGCTTGGAAGCTGTTATTGTAGGCAAATTCTATCAGGGGTAGATAATCTTCCCAGCTTCCCTTAATGTCAGTGACACATGCCTTTAACATGTCCTCCAATGTGTGAATGGTCCTCTCTGACTGTTAATCTGTTTGGGGGTGAAAGGCAATGCTAACTGTAAGTCTAGTTTCCAACGCTGACTGCAGACTTGTTAAAATTCTAGAGGTGAATCTAGTGTCCCTGCCTAACACAATGCTGATGGGCACTCCGTGCAATCTCACAATTTCTCTGATATATAACTGGGCCAGTTTATTCAGAGTATAGGTCGTGCGAACCAGTAAGAAGTGAGCAGCCTTAGTTAATCGGTCCATCATGACCCAAATACTATCATGCCTTGCACTTGATATTGGTAATCTAAAAACAAAGTCCATTGTGATGTGTTCCCATTTCCATTTTAGTATGGGTAGGGGCTACAATAGTCCTACAGGTCTCTGATGTTCTGCCTTCACTTGCTAGCATATCAAACACTTAGCGATAAACTATGCCACATTTCGCTTCATGTTGTTCCACCAAAAGGTCTTTTTCAAATCTTGGTACTCTTTGTACTCCTTGGGTGTATCGTGTATGTGCTTCCTCTAGGACAGCCCTTTTTATCTTCTCATCATTAGGAACACACACTCGGCCTCTAAACCTTAACAAGTCATCACTACTCATAAAGAAATCTCCTTTTCCTTCCATTCTTATTTCGTCAAGGATTTTTGTCAGATGGAGATCTCTTTTTTAGGCCACTCGAATTTGCTGAAGGAGTTGGGGTTCCATCCTTAAAAACAACAACATTCATTCCCCCTTACTACGGGGCTGAGATGGGTGCCACTCCACCACATCTTCTAATAGCTTCATTTCTCGAACCATCAAATGTGCCACGGAGACCACAACTTTTCGACTTAAAGCATCGGCTATCACATTATTCTTGCCTGGTTGGTAATCAATTGTACAGTCATAATCATTCAATAAGTCCATCCATCTTCTCTGCTTCATGTTTACATCTTTCTGAGAAAACAGGTACTTGAGGCTCTTGTGGTTCGTGAACACCTTAAACTGGGCCCCATAGAGGTAGTGTCTCTAGATTTTTAACGCGAACACTACTACTGCAACCTCCAAGTCGTGAGTGGGATAGTTTTGTTATGCAGCTTTAATTGTCTGGGGGCGTAAGCAATAACTTTATCTCTCTGTATAAGTACACATCCGAGCCCTTTATGGGATTGTGACTACTCTCTTATTAAGTTCCTGGAAACTCCTCTCACATTCCTCTGACCATACAAATTTTGTATTCTTCTTATGAGAATCCTTCTACAAAG